CCCAAATACTGTGGCTGTTTTTTAAAGTTTGGGCAAAGACCCAGCATTACCAAAACAAGTGACAAAGTATTTTGGAAATCAAAATTTAATAGACAGGTAGCTCAGCTTACGATAAAAAAGAGCTCAAAATGTTTAAAGTAGAGCTATTAGAAAACATTGGGTTTTTTAAATTAAAAATGAAGCTTCATTTTTATTATCAGGAAATAAGAAGATGATGAAAGATTTCTAACTGCCTCTGCTTTTACATTTATCTTCTTTTCCACATTATTATAAGTTGAAGACATCTCTAAGAACCTCTTAACAGCCCTGACCCTCTAGGTCAGCTCAGGTTTGGTGATGAAGACGGTTTCAAGTTTGCTCCCTCAAATTTTTTGTGCCTGACTACTACCTTTTCCCCCAAATCTTGGCCTTCGGAGAGCAGAAGGAAGATGCCGCTAATTAAGTAACGCTTACTGCTCTCATGAGGACAACAAAGGTTTTTAATTTATTTTATAGAACCGGGCACAACTGCACATGAGCACCTGAGTGGTGAGAATATTCTTCCTACAAACTGACCACCATCCTATCCACCTACCTGCCTCTGCAGGCACAAGGAGATCTAGAGTTGCGTAAATGGCTAATTTGTGACTGAAAACAATGGCAACGAAGGTTAGAGAAGCAGAGCTCAGCATGTGGGGCTTTGTTTCATTCTACTGTAGCTCTGTCAGAAAGGGGAAGTGATAAAGGGAAGGGGAGAAGTAGGAGGAAGCAGAAAAAGGGAGCAAATGTTTTTAGGATGGACAGTCGTAAGCAGGGTACGTTTCATGTTTCAGATCAAAGGAAGGAACTTTTACACTGGAAGATGGATATTTTTACCTAGATCCAGCGCATGCATATAGAGTATAGATATGCTAGCTCTGGTCTCAAACTGCTCAGAGAATATGCCTCTGGATGAGTAAAAACAGATCCAGCTGTTTTGAGCATTCTGGAACTGACCTGTGCTGTTGCATTAATTCTTTTTAAAAAACTTTTTGGTTGACTTTGTTTTAATCAGCTAGAAGCCTTCACTAGCACAGCAAAAAAGGAAAGGAACTGACCGGTATTGGGGAGTGGATGTTGTAGTTCCTGTCCAGCTCAGTACAGCTATTCACAACTCAGGACACCTGCAGATGCTATCAGCGAGCAGGACCCGAAATATTGAAACTACAGCTGAAGAGGAGGGCTAACACTGTAACCTTTCCTGTGCAGACAAGCCAGGAAAGAAGTTAAGAATAACAACTATTCCCATGCAGAGTGACAAAGCACTTGCCACATTCCCTTTTCCAAGCTCCTGACAAAAATGCACCAGAGGCCAAAAAAAAAAAAGAATAGGTTATTTATTCTATATTTGTCCTTGACAATTGCTGAGTATACACTTGCTTTTTAAGAAGAGTGATACGCAAGGAAATTCTGCAGTTTCAGGAGCGGTTTTGTGCTGAATCAGCTTTCGGCAGCACATTCGCTCTCCTCAGCAGCCTCCCCAGCGTCCTCCGCCAGTTCAACTGAAGTGTACTGTATGTGCTAATGAAAATGCGCACCTGGCATAAATGGTTCTGATCTGTCTGCCATAGCTTTTGGGGAACCAAGTAGCAGAGATGCTGGCTGTCTGGACAGGCTTTAGAGAAGCCCAGTCTCTGAGGCAATTATCAAAAAAATATAAAGAGTTTAGGAATCTTTTCAATAACCTACTGCAGTGACCATGATATCCTTCCACAGAGATGCTTCCTGGAGGACTAGTCAGCAAGAGGAATTGTGCATCCACCTCTAGAATAGACTCCTTGAAATAATTTTCTGAAGATGGATGAAGAATACTGGTCATTCAGGCATTCAGGATGTGGTTGGTGGATTAAACAAAAGACTAGGCAGAGGTAAAGCTGGTAGATTTTTCATTATCTGCACTAAAAAAAGGAATGCAAATTGTTTACTTGTGCTAACTTTCACAAGAAAGTCCAAGCTGTTTTGTGTAGGTCACTGAATCATGGGGCTCTGTGTGTGTGTGTGTGTGTACACGTGTGTCTATAAAGGTAGCAGTATCTTTTGACAAGCGTGTGAAAGTCTCATCTCCAATTACTGCAAGCCTACGGGGGAAAAAACCTTAATCCTATGGCCAAGTTGGAACCCCCTCCTCGCCCCACTCCAAAGCTAAAGGCCTTGCTGTTGCAAGAGCAGAATGTGAGAGCTCACTTGGAGGCTGCCTGAGAGCTGCTTTTATCATGATGGCTGTATGCAAAATACCATTATTTTTCACAGATAGCACAAAATCTCCCCAGAGAAAGGGAGGAATGAAAGAAAGGCTCAAACAATTTTGGAATGTATTTCTTGCCTGTAAAATCTGTGCATGGAAAATATTCCCCTCTTTTTCCTCTGCATACCCAAATGCATACTAAATAGATACTAAAGAGACATAGAGAGGGACCATCTTAATGGTCCCATATGATTTCTTTCTGCCTGCTGAGACCTGGTGAGACCTGGCTTTGTGCATAAAGTTACACTGATTTAACTTAAAAGTTGATTTGGACACTGGTTTCATCATCAGTGTACAACTTTGCTTCTGAATGTTTTCATACTACATTTAAGCCAACTTCCAAATGTACATGTTCAGATTCAGGCTAACTGAACAGAAATTGTTTTCTGCTCCTCTAACCAAATCTACAGAGTCTGCAACCATTTTTATTAATAGGTTTCTAGATAGACTGGAGCAACACCTTATGCTTCTGGCAAATTCTAAGATTTGAAATAATTCTCCAATTTCAAATCTTATCATCAATAGATGTTTCAAGGTAGAAATTATATCATTTTAAATGTTTCACTTCTGATTTTTAGGTACTTACATAAATACATTTTTGCCAACTTCTGTCCCCCTCTTACTTCACCAGCAGAACTATCCTGCCCAATGTAGATACTACAGGGACATAAGTATAGTTAAGAGCTAATAAACTGGGGAACCTGACCACTTAGAGCTTCTGAATGTTTGAAGTAGTTACGATCTTAGTATGAAAATGTTCTAGCATATTGTGCCTCTATGCAAAGAGGGAATGCAACGCTGCAGCATGTCTTGGCAGCATGCAAAGCCAAAGAAATCCCAATTCCTTCTTCTCTTCCCTTTCCTCCTTCTAATCCAGTTTACTTTTCAGAACAAGTGTTAGAAAAACATTCCTATTCTGATGGTATTCAAATAGCTGATCTTTGTACATTTGTAACTGATATTTGGCCAGCTTGTAAGGTGCGTGGAGCAGCTCCAGGAAAAGGGGAATGGCAAACAGAACAGTTCGTTACCACTTGGCCATGATAACAGGAAAGTGCTGAGGTGTAAGATATGACAAAATACACTTATAACTTTTTGGCACTTAGGGCTGCAATAGTCTCACAGTTCACCCGTGAGGGACAAGAATGCTGGGCCAACCCCGAAGTGCCTCAGGAGTTTGTCTTTCTACTGCTAAACTGAGACTTGAGATGGCAACAATAATCTCAGTTATCTCCCCTGTTTCTTCTTCAGACCCTTTCTGCCCCCTTGTCTCTTTTCACTGTACTTCAGCTTAGGCATGGACCAAGTGAGCCTGCATATAAAGGGGGTTTTAGCTCTACATTAGTATCACCCACTGCCTCTGTCCTCTTTCCACCTGCATATCTGGTCTGGATGCAAAGGTAAGACCAAAGCTCTCTGCCTGGGGAATTTTGGATGTTAGATGCCCAGTAAGAAAAATATCTCCAGCTCAATCTCCTCATAAAGGCTAGAAAGCATGCAAAAAAACTAACACAGACCACGGACAGTGATGGGCCACATCCCTGGCATCTGGCTAATGCATACTTTCACAGTTTTGACTTATTGCCGATGTGCTACATTTCTGTTCCTGATTTCCTGAAAGGGAGCTGTCACACAGTGACATACGTTCTTGTGTCACGTGCTGTGGCTACACAGCTCCTACTTCATTTTGATTGCATTGACCCTTCTGTGGAAATACTCAAAACCTGTAAAAAGGAGAACAACAAGCGAACCCCATTGCAAACAGTGCAAATTTGTCTCTTGTTGTTTGGATGTCATGCGGATGAGACTTCCACTAAGGTACCTATAACAGTTGGGCTGGCTATCCATGACTGTCAAGTTTTCTGAGAATGCGTCAAATCTATAGAGGCTAAAGGCTGTAACCCTGGAAACTGGTAAAGTAAAGTGGAAAGGGATACTGAAAGAACTGAGGAGCAGTTAACTACAGCTCTCAAATTCTGCAAAACCAAGGGAATACTGATTACATCCAACATATGTCAAGGACATATACTCCCAAAGGAAAGTAGAGGACAGTAACATTAGTTGCTAATCCTGTACTCAACACTTTGGAATCTAAAAACGAAGCTTGTTCATGGATTTTTTAGCTAAACTAGCTTTCTGGATTAAATGAACCAAAGTAAAACAACCAATGTTCTCTTCCCAGATAATTCAAGGAGCGTATCTTCCAAACCTTGCTCAGCAAAAAGTCCTCACAAATCTTGCATTCTTGTTGCACATGAGCCAAGCTTCTGCAGGGCGGATGTAACATAATCTTATCTGGAAGATGTGCTTTTAGTCTAGTGGTTAAAGCAGTTTCCATGCATCAAAAACAGACCGACGCCTCTCAGCCTAAGAAAGGCTACGAACCCAAGTCTTTCACTGCTTTAAATGCTCTGACTACTGGGTCACATCATCAGAGGCCTCTCCTTTCCATGGGCAAAGTTTGAATGGTTAGTCCATGGCTAGTCTGCACTGCACTGGATCTAAAGCTGCAGCTCTGCTAGAAGAGCTTCAAGCACGCTTTGCCCAGGAGGCCCGTTTAGGCCTAAACTCAAATACAGCACTTTCCAACTGAAAATCAGGAAGTATGTTTAGGACAAATAAGCACTGTGATGGTCCCTTTCATGGATGAAGAAACTAA